TCAGTTACAAATAATATCCACACCTAACTAGAGAATAGAAGTTTCTGGTGCTTTTAGATGCCTTCTAAGTAAGGGATCTCAGCAGAACTTTACCTAGGTGGGCTTAACCTGAAGAAACACCTGTTCTGGCCCTTCAAGGTCCCTCTTCTACCTTCATCACTTTGCTCTTTGTGGTCTCTGGATTTTCCCTGTGTGCCTCCCCAGTATTCAGAGCCTGCTGGTCTGCCTGAGACCATCCCTGCCATCTATAAGTTTCCAATTACAGCCAATTTTTTAAACATTTTTTATTGATTATGCCATTACATTTGTTCTATTCCCCCCTCTTTTCCCCTCCACCCTGCAGACCCCTCTCCCACCACTCTCCCCCTTTAGTTCATGAACACGCGTCTCAAGTTCTTTAGATTATGTATTTCCCATACTATTCTTACCCTCCCCCCATCTATTTTCTATCTACTTTCTGTGCTACTTATTTTCTGTACCTTCTCCCCCCTTCTCCTTCTCCCACTCCCCTGTTGCTAATCCTCCACGTGATCTTCATTTCTATGGTTCACTCCTGATTTAGCTGTCTTCTTAATTTGCTTTTGTTTTAGGTGTGGTTGTTGATAACTGTGAGTTTGCTGTCCTTTCACTGTTCATCTTTTTTTTTTAATCTTCTTTTTCTTACGTAAGTCCCTTTAACATTTCATATAATAAGGGCTTGGTGATGATAAACTCCTTGAATTTGGTCTTATCTGAGAAGCACTTTATCTGTCCTTCCATTCTAAATGAAAACTTTGCAGGATAGAGCAATCTTGGTCGTAGGTCTTTGGTTTTCATGACTTGGAATACCTCTTTCCAGCCCCTTCTTGCCCGAAAGGTCTCTTTTGAGAAATCAGCTGACAGTCTGATGGGAACTCCTTTGTAGGTGACTGTCCCCTTATCTCTTGCTGCTTCTAGGATTCTCTCCTTCATGTTAATCTTGGCTAATGTAATGATGATGTGCCTTGGTGTGTTTCTTCTTGGGTCCAACTTCTTTGGGACTCTCTGAGCTTCCTGGATTTCCTGGAAGTCTATTTCCTTTGCCAGAATGGGGAAGTTCTTTTTTATTATTTGTTCAAATAAGGTTTCCACTCGTGACAGTTCCTCTTCCCCTTCTGGTACCCCTATAATTCAAATGTTGGAGCGTTTAAATATGTCCTGGAGGTTCCTAAGCCTCTCCTCATTTTTTTGAATTCTTGTTTCTTCATTCTTTTCTGTTTGGTCATTTTTTCCTTCCTTCTGGTCTACTCCCTTGATGTGAGTCCCAATTTCCTTTCCATTACTATTGGTTTCCTGTGCATTATCATTCATTTCAATTAGTTTAGCTTTCATATGTTTCTCTAATTTGTGACTAAAATCAACCAGTTCTGTGAGCATCCTGATCACCAGTGTTTTAAACTGTGCATCTGAAAGTTTGGCTATTTCTTCATCACTTAGATTTATCAGCTCTGGGGCTCTGAGTTGTTCTTGAGCCATTTTTGGTCTGTTCGTGCCCATTAAGTATGAAAAGCGGAGCCTTAGTTGTTTACCAGGATGGGGCAACTTTGGTCGCTGGGTTGTGATGCTGTATGTGGGGGCGGGGGTCAGAGAGGGAGCAATGGTGGTCCTCTCTGCTCGCCAGTCCATCCCACCGCCCAGGCCTGTTTATCCGAGCGGAAACATGCGAGCCCCCGCCGCCCTGCATCCTGCGGTCTCAATCCTCGCCTCTTCACCGGTTTATCTGCACGCAAATGCTCTACCGACCGCAGACAGTCAGTCCCACCTCTTCCCTGTGTCCGCCCATAGCTAGCCCACAACTGGGATCTGCACCTTGGGCTGCTTGCGAAACACCCGTTCGGGGATCTTTTTTGCCAACCTGCTCCGCTGCTGGCTTTGCTCATCTTTGGACTCCATATTGTCGATTTTCTGTGTGGTTTGGTTGTGTTTATTCTTGTTAAAACTTTGTTTTTAGATTTGGTTGTGCACAGACGCAAGGTGTTTCCACCTACGTCTCCATCTTGGCGGAAGTCCCCAATTACAGCCAATTTTTAATGTTATATCTTTATTTGTTTAAAGTATTTAATAATATCAACATGTACTGATTATTTTATTATTACAAAAATAATATATTGTTAGAAAATACAGACTCACAATAAAAAAATTATTCCTTCACCTCAAAGTACCCACTGTCTTGTTTGTTTGTTTGTTTGTTTGTTTGTTTTGACTGAAGTGTTATTTATCTATTTTCATCACTTTTTGGAACAGGTTTATTGAAATATATTGGGTTGGCCACATGTTTGTTTAGTTTTTTCCATAGGAAGGCTGTAGTAGTACATAGTTGTCTTGAACTTGATCAAAACAATTTTGTTAGATTGTATTGTGACAGCTGTCACATCAGCATGCATTTTAAAAAATCAAAATTGGTGAACTTTTGTGTACACATTTTAATATTGAAAATTAAAGAAAATTTACAATATTTTTGGCCTATTATGCTTTATTATTTTAAGAATAGTAAAAACATAACTAAATGCAAAAAAAGATTTGTGCAAGTATACTGGAGCAGGTGCTGTGACTGACTGAATGTGTTGACAGTGGTTGTTGAAGTTTCCTGGTACTATTGACATTTTGGTCAAAAAATTCTTTACTGTGGGGCTGTCTTATGCATTGAAGATGTTTAGCAGCAACCCTGGCCTCTACTCACTGGAAGCCATTAGTAGGAGATAGCCAACATACTCAGAATATACAAATCACTAAAGTTATTGATGAAAATGAAAAATGTGTCTTCCATTTTTATGGAAAAACTAAATAGTTCACATATCATATGAGGTCTGTCTGGAAAAAGTCCAACCATTGTTAAAAAAACAAGAATGGTTTGTGTGACATCGATGTAACCTGGCAGCCAAGGAGAGCGGACTGGAATGCACATGTGTAAACAATGACAACTTCACTGTACTAGTCATGGGGCAGTATACACCATTGAGTGAGCATGTGTAAGACAATCATAAATATTACAAAACAAAACAAAACATTAACTCTCACACTGGCTGGTGTGGCTCAGTTGGTTGGAGGATCACCCTGTAACCTCAAGGTTGCTGTTTGATTCCTGGTTGGGGCATGGGCTTCTGCAACTCCTGATCTGGATGCATACAGGAAGCAAACAATCCATGCTTCTCTCCTGAATGACTGTATCTCTCTCTGCCTTCCTCTATCTTTAAAAAGGAATGAAAAAATGCTGTCAGGTGAGGATTTAAAATATATATTTTTTAATAGTATATTAAATAGCATATTAATTATTCTATTACAGTTGTCCCATTTTTTTCTCCCTTTTATTCCTCTCTGCCCTGTACCCTTCCTCCCACCAGCAATCCCCCACCTTATTTCATGTCCATGGGTTGTACATACAAGTTCTCTGGCTTCTTCATTTCCCATACTATTCTAAACCTCCCCCTGTCTATTTGCTACCTACCATTTATGTTTCTTATTCCCTGTACCTTTTCCCTATCCTCCCTCTCACCACCACACCCTGCTGATACCCTCCATGTGATCTCCATTTCTGTGATTCTGTTCTCATTTTAGTTGTTTGCTTAGTCTGTTTCTTTTTAGGTTCAGTTGTTGATAGTTGTGAGTTTATTGTGATTTTACTGTTCATATTTTTATCTTCTTTTCTTAGATAATTCCTTTTAATATTTCATATGATGAGGGCTTGGTGATGATGAATTTCTTGAACTTAACCTTATCTGGGAAGCACTTTATCCACCCTTCCATTGTAAATGATAGCTTTGCTGGATAGAGTAATCTTGGATGGAGTTTCTTGCCTTTCATGACTTGGAATACTTCTTTCCAGCCCTTTCTTGCCCACAAGGATCCTTTTGAGAAATCAGCCAATAGCTTAGCGGAACTCCTTATAGGTAACTGCCTCCTTTACTCTTGCTGCTTTTAAAATTCTCTCCTTATCTTTAATCTTGGGTAATGTAATTATGATGTATCCTGGTGTGTGCTTCCCTGGGTCCAACTTCTTTGGAACTCTCTGAGCTTCCTGGATTTCCTGGAAGTCCATTTCCTTTGCCAGATTGAGGAAGTTTTCCTTCATTACTCTTTCAAATAAGTTTTCAGTTTCTTGCTTTTCTTCTTCTCCATCTGGCACCCTTATGATTTGGATGCTGGAATGTTTAAAGTTTCCCCAGAGGTTCCTAAACCTCTCCTCATTTTTTAAAATTCTTGTTTATTCATTCTGTTTTAGTTGCATGTTTATTTCTTCATTCTCCTTCACAGTCATTGTTGATTTGAGTCCTGGCGTCCTTCCCATCATTGTTGGTTCCCTGTGCATTTTCCTTTATTTCACTTTGCATAGCCTTCACTTCTTCCTCTATTTTGTGACCATACTCAACCATTTCTGTGAGCATCCTGACTACCAGTGTTTTCAACTGTGCATCTCATAGATTGGCTATCTTTTCATTGCTTACTTCTATTTGTGGAGCTTGATCTGTTCTTTCATTTGGGCCATATTTCTTTCTCTCGGCGAAAATGTTATGTTGTATGAGGCAGAGCATTAGGTATTTACCAGGGAGGGGCAACCCTCTTTGTTGCGTTGTGGCACTGTATGTGAGGAAGGGGTTGGAGAGGGACAATGCCATTTGCTCAGCTCTTGGCTGCTTTCAATCTCTTCCCCTGCTAGCCACCTGCAAATTGGGCCCTTTAGGTGCTGATTCCCAGGTGGGTGAGTTTGTGTATGTTCTAGGACCCTGTGAGTCTCTCCAATGAACTATCATGTGAGTCTAGAAGTTTCTCCTGCCGCAGCTGCAATCCCCAGAGTTTTATAGCTGGAGGTTTTGAGGCTCTCTTTCCCATGCTGGAAACTTGGGTTGCACAAGCTGTCTCACTCCCCCGTTTTTCCTCCCAGTTCATCCTCACAGAGCTGTGGGACTGCCTGGTCCACCCATCGCTGCCTTTCCAGGTGTCCTCTCCTCCTAGCTGCCTGTCTCCACCCCTCCTACCAGTCTGGGTGAATATTTCTTCTTTAATTCCTTGATCGTAAGACTTCCATACAGTTCAATTTCATGGCAGTCCAGGTTACTTTTTGTTTTTAAATTTGTTGTCCTTCTTTTGGTTGTGTGAAGAGGCAACGTGTATCTACCTACACCTCCATCTTGGCCAGAAGTCTTGAGTGAGGATTTAAAAATAAAAATATATTAATTTTGTTGATGTGAAAGTCATTTACTGTATGACTACTTCCTAAGTCCTACTTTAAACTTATCTCAGTGAAGTTTCATTAATTATTTAAAATCACTCAGGTGGAGCTCTTAGAGATTTAATTTACCTCCAAAGGGCCAGCCTGGCATATTATCCTACATTGGCAACAGAACCAACAAAACTTCATTGTTACACTTTAACATTCTTCTCTTTAGAACTACGTAAATGCTAAATTTGGACAGCACACAGAGACCCATTTTCCTTTTGTTCTCAGAAGTATAAACTGGTAGAAATCAATAAGTTTTCTATGTGTTAAGCATTATTAAAGTTGGTTTGTAAATAAGTTACCACTGGAACCACAATGCTTGGGATAAAATCCTAGGCCAGAATGTAACAATGTAAAAAAGGGACAACCCGCTCAGCTGTATAATAACTGGCCTGGCATGAGGTGGTGGGAGTGATACCATGAAAGAGAGAGACCCTGTGCTCAGCAGATGGGAGCACATCCATCAGGAAGAAGTATATAATGCACAAGGAGACTGATTTTCCAGATTCTGAGTTAGTCTTGCCATCTCCCACGAGATTATACAATTAGCTTTGTTTTGATTCTGTACTCCCAGAGAAACCTTCTGATTTTGACTTCAGTCATCCCAGATACCTTACCACCCAAAAAGATGCCCTGGATAATAAATATTTCAGTTAATGGAATGGTAGTGCCTGCCATTGTGTAGGGATACATTTGTTTTGTGACATATAAATCAATTATCTGTGAGTTTAGTACAATTCAGTCCCCCAGATCCAGTAAGTTCCAGGTAGACTTGAAAAATAGAGGTTCTTTATCTAAAAGCTGAGAACAAACTCTAAATCAATGTTTTTGTAAATTCTGTTGAGCCTCAATTTATTCATCTGTAAAGCAGGGGGAATAATAGTGACTGCTTAAGCATGGGTGTTGGGAGGATTTATGATTGAAAAAATGTACATTATTTATTAAATGATTTGACATACATAAGTATTCAGAATGGTGCCTATTATTTATAGTGATCCCACTAGTCACTACCCTGCTAGAGTACCTTGCTAGAAGCAGCCAACTGTTGTATCTCTGTCACAGCCTTTTTATAAGGCCCTCAAACTACTTATTTCTTCCAGCCACTTCACTCTGAAAACTAAAGATGTTGAATAAAAGCTACACTCAGTGAAGTTTCATGGTGTGTAACCTGTGTACTTACATAGGGCCTGTACTTAGTTTAATACTTAGCTGTTGCCATCGTGAAATTCTTAATATTTTTAAGGGACCCCACACTTTTATTTTGCACTGGGCCTTGAAAAATTTGTAACCAATCTTAGCTCCATGAGACCAAAGACTAGTAAGTGGCTTTAGGTAAGTAAGCCACTCCCTTTCCAGGTGGCTCTGTCTTAATTCTCTGGATGTTAATAGAAACAATGATGAAAGAGGTGTAACTAATACAGTCACAGACCCAGCCTTGCCAATGAGCAGAGTGGAAGCTTCTTGAACATGTAGTAACATGTCCAGAATATAAGCAATAAGTTTGATCTCAGGACTCTCAGTAGACTGAAGAAAAACTAAAAGAAACCCTGGCTGTGCTTCCCATCCCTACTTCTCCTCAAAATAGCAACTGTACTCAGTAATTCATAGTGAAATTATTTGAATTATTCTAAGATGCAAAAAAATCACTCTGACTTTCAGCACAGAGAGGGCCCAGAGCAGCTGGCCACTGTTGGAAAACTGAGGACTCAAGGTCATTCTGGTGGGGGCCTCACCATGGAGACTGTTGTAGGGGAGTGGAAAGTGAATGCTTCAGACAAGCAGCTGATGCCAGGTAGTCTCACAGGTGACTTCTGTGAACCACAGGAGCAGTTGCTTTGACTCTCAGAACTGCTCCCCAGTGAACAGCAATCCTGTCCTATGTGTCTAACTGTCCCTACAAGAAAATCCCAGAAACTGCCTACTTGGGTGGGATGTCTACTAAATTGGGTAATGGGAGTTAGAGGTAGAGTGTTTTCAGGCTGCTATGGTAAATTGTTCTTCCTTGGAGTTTCTGACATGGAGTGGACCAGGGAAGAGTGGAGTCTACAAATATTTGGTCTCATTGTCCACATAGCTATATACTTTGTTCATTCAGTGACTCTGACTTGGACAGTGGAAGACAGGACTCGGTGGCCTTCAAATCACTTCTCCATTCCCAGGTCAGTTGTTATCTTCTTGTTCCCACCAGACATACCCATTCATGGTACTGAAGTGACCATGTGATTTACCAATGGTTACCAGCAGCACAGATGTGTGGACAAGTTTTGAAATGCTGCCTCGAATTCCTTTGTAGAGAAATCCATCTAAATGCCCCCATTCTCAATAATTCAGTTTCTTCGAACACTTTGGTCTACTTTGTTCTGATTTTGGTATCTGAAAATACCAAAGCTGGGAGTCTGCCATCATCTTGAAGGGCACAGCCATAAGCCCAGAGAAAAAAATATTTAAGGCTGCAGGGAAATCAAAGGCTAAAAAAGTGTTTGTTTATTGCCAGCTCTCCCCACAGCCACTTACATAAAAGTTTATGCTGAGATGGAATGTCTTGCCTAGACTCAGGACCAAGACTTATGCTCTTTGGGATGATGACAGAAACAATATAGGAACCACAGGGCTATGGTCCATGATGTAGACCAGAAAGGAAAATCGAGTGCCATGTAGCAATTAGTGCTTTCACAATAGTATGATGGTGTCCTGGGTTGTTGTTCATTTTTTGGGTGGTGGGAAAAGTCTGCTGGAGGGGAAAAGCTCTCTGAGCAAGATATGGCTAAAGAGTGATTTCTTGTCTTCCCATTTTGAAGATAAAACAATGCCCATGCAGTATGTGGAGCTGAGGGGCAGAGTCAAAAGTTCAGGTATCTTCTGGCCTTTTAGATCCATCCTGACTTTCTAAAAGCTACAAAAACACTACAGACAAATCTGGAAGCATTCAAAAAGTTTGGACAAAGTTGTATACATTTCATTCAACTGTTTACTGGAAAAAAAGAAAAATATATATTAAGCCTTTTCTTCACAAAATGAACATGAAAAACTAACTCAAACAGAAAAAAAACTAAAAGCCTTAGATTATGTTTAAGAGTCAAAGGGATAATGTGCCTCCTACACAGTGTTTCTGAGAAGCAGATATGACAGCAGAGAGGTGGGTCATAATCCAGCTTGTGAAGCAGCCATGAGGCCATCTCAACTACTCTCCACAGCCTCCCTGAAGGGGATGGCCCAGCCTCTTTGTGTTGACTGTTCTGAGCTTTAAATGAATATCATAAAAACAGTTTTATGAATATCATAAAAACAAACTAGAAGTGAAAATATTTTAAAAATGTTTTCACTTCTAGTTTGTGTGCTCATTCAGCTTTGTTCCTTCCTCAACAGCCATTGTGAGTAATTGTCAACTTACTTTGCTGCTCATCATTCATACCTGGGTGTGCATTTTCTGACACTAGACACACCTAACTCTTAGCATCTGTCATCACAAATAAAGTTTCTGCTTGTTGCTTTGGAATGACAAGTTGAAACTATCACAGTCTCACACATATAGGAGATAGTCAATCAGCATTTTATTAATGGATTCATCTCTCTCTCTCTCTCCTACTGCTACTACTTTTCTCACTTCCCAACCCTTATTCTATTTTTCTCTTTCCTTTCTTTCTCTCTTTCTCTCTTTCTCTCTTTCTTTCTTTCTTTCTTTCTTTCTTTCTTTCTTTCTTTCTTTCTTTCTCTCTCTCTCTTTCTTCTTCTTCTTCTTCTTCTTCTTCTTCTTCTTCTTCTTCTTCTTCTTCTTCTTCTTCTTCTTCTTCTTCTTCTCTCTCTCTCTCTCTCTCTCTCTCTCTCTCTCTCTCTCTCTCTCTCTTCTTCTTTGGCTTCCAAAACATTGGGCTTACCGGTGAATCTACTGAGCACCATCTAAACTGGTTTTTAACAAACAAGTAGCACCATGACCACATAATAGAAGGAGACTCACCTTGGGGCCCCAAGTTTGGCCTGAGTTTATGTGAGTTTGGAGCCATAATTTATTTTAACCAATTGGATGTCTAAAAGAAGCAAAGGTAACTGGATCCTATGAATCCCCTATGGGACCCATCTAACAAGACCTCACATATAAAAACCTTTTATTTCTCATTTACATGATTTCCCATCATTTCTTTCTTCTGATTCTTCCCTCTACCATCATGCACAGGTTGCACTCTGAAACTAGTGTTTTCTGATCTTTAGTTCCCTTTTTGTAGTGTCTAGAGAACATTACAATTAAGAAAGGCCATGAATTATTCAGGATCCATGGGTTACAAAAGGAAGAAATACATCTTATACAGCTTAGCATAACCACAAAAGGGATGGTTGGATTGAGGTGTGCCCTCAGCACTCTCTCACTCTTCTCTCCTTTTTATGCTTGCCTAATGCCATTTTCTCCAACCAGCTAGCTCCTCCATGAGTTAGGAACATGGTCATGGCAAAGCTTACCTCCTCATAGCTTCTGATTGCGTATCCTGAGGTATAATGCTGATTGCCCCCTTCACTATAGCTAAGCATTGTGAGTTATGTGTTTGGCTCTTCTGGGCCATGTGTGCCATGAGGCCAGGAGAATGGGGTCTGTTTTACCAAAAGAAGTGAAAGTAGGGGTTCAAGGCAGATTAAACAACAGCCACCACACTATCTGAGAAAAAGAGAGCTCTGTGAAGCCACCGAGTCTACTGGCAGATTACTCCTTTTTTTTTAATCTTCCTCCATATCTTCATGGCCTCATAAATGAGCGTTAAATACTATATGTGGTCTAGGGGGTCTCAGACCCTCCACATGAAGATATAACAACAGTCAACGTTTTAACATCCAAGCAGAGAAAAGCTGAGGAGGGATAGTTCACCTGATTTTCCTACCAGTGCCAAGAATTAATTAAAGGTGAAATTTGGGATTTATAGAAAATTGTACACTGAGAGAACTGAGGAAGATCTAAGGGAATCTAAGTGATTTCCAATGTATGGCCAGAGCTCCACAAAAAAAGGACAACAATGGGTGCTCAAAGGTCTTGTGGAGGATCTTGCATTAGGTGTGAGGCCAGACAAAGAAATTCTTAAAGTTCTTTAAATTCTGAGAGGCCTGAGTCTGTAAAACCCTCCCAACCTAAAATTGTGCAGGGCCCCCACTCTCATTAACTGATTTTAATAACCAATAATCCTACTTCAAGGCAAACACCTAAAGTAGCAAACATTTGAGTTTCATGTAGATAACTCATATAAACTCCCCCCACTCTGGCAAATTAAGCCCACAACATTTAAGCCTTGGCATTCTCAGGCCCTCAGAAACTAGACAAGTCTTCTCTTGAACCTCATCCTATTTTAACCAACATTTTTGAACCTCTTTTTTTACAAATTTTGGCATTTTTTCTTTCCTTTGTGTCTTGGCTATGTTAATCAGATCACAGCTCATAAGAGAAGCCTGGGGTTGAATACAGAGATCTAGAACATCTTCAAAGTAACCTCCTCTGGTCACAAAGGAATTAGAGAAATCAAGAAAGTAAGAGAGAAAGTTGGCCTTTGTTCTCATTTTCCTACTTCTCAATGACCCCACCCAACATGTCCATATCCTAATGACCAGAACCCATGAATAGGTTGTTACATGACAAAGGGGACTTAAGATTGCTATTAAGCTGACCTTAAGATAGGAAGATTATTTGGGTGAACCCAATGTAATTACAAGGGTCCTTAAAAGTAGAAGAGGGAGGTTAGCGGGTTTTCTAGTGGACATAAAGTCAGAAAGCCATGTTAAAATTCCAGGCCATGAACATGATGAGTCAATGACTTTCTTTAGGCTCTATTGCATCTATTGCCACTTTGTATGCACAAAGCTTAGCATAGTGCTAGGCACATACTATTATGTGCCTATTGCTCAACACAATTAGTACTCAATATTTATGGAATGAAGGAAGGAATAAATGAATGAGACATCAATTTTTTTGAGGAAGACATTTCAAAGATGTTTATATTCCTAAGATAAATGTAAAGAAGATAAGTAGGACCTCAATATGCAAAATAGAGTGGAAGTGGGCAGAGAGGGAATGTCTTAGAACGTCAAGAAAATGACCCTTGCCTCTATCAAACTGACTGAGACATAAGAGTCAAGCTGGGCAGTGTGAAGGGAAGAGACCCATGTGCCATTTAAGACTTTCCCTAAAGCACTCTAGCTGGGATGATGTCATTTTCATTCACGCAAATTTCCAAGGAAGGAAACCCACCACCTCGTGAATAAAAACAATGCAATGTCCCAGATAGGACAGCACACACTAAAAAATCCTCAGGCAGCAGTTTAAGTCTTTCTATCCCACATCACATTTTCAGTGGAAATGACCACTAACTTCCGTATGATTATTTTCCCTTTAATCAATCTGGTTCTCTGTTCATCTCTGCCTTCCCTAAACTCAGCAACTCCAATTTCCCTAACTGCTTTCAGAGGTCTATTCACCAAGTCATCTAATTTATACTTTTCTCCTCTAATTCCTCTCCAAATGCCTTCTCCCTTAAGCCATTTACCTGAATCAGAAGACCAGTTTTGCTCAAGCCACACTCATCTTATGCATCAGCTTCTTCTTTAAGTAGTTGGCAAGGAACATAGCTCTGCTTCAGGAGGTAGCCCTGGCCTTGTTGGAGTATCACAGTTATGTTTCCCGTCCAGCCAACCAGACTCAGGCTGTTCTTGCCTAAAAGAGTACCCACAGAAATCAGCAAGAAGCCCACCTCCATAGAGTATCTGGACACAGATCTTAGAAGAACTCACCATCCTCTTCCTCTTTATCATCCTCTCTAAGCTCCTTCATCTTTGTATTAGCCAAAGTCCGTGTAGGTAGGGAGAGAAAAGTAATTGATGGCCTTAAGGAACAGCAAAGTGCTATTGAGCAAAACCATAACTCAACAGCCTCACAGGTGCTTCCTGCAGCAGGGAGGGAAAAGAGAGTCTTTAGAAAACCCTAAATAACTCTAGGCAGTGATGTCAGCTTGACAAATGACCCTTAAGAAATAGCCCCATTGTTCTCTGGTACGTGATTCATCCTAGGCACTTCTGGGAAGGGTGACAAGGTCCAGCCTAAGTCCTTCAATTGTCACTTGGGGCCGTTCTACAACTCACCTCTCAGAAGTAAGAAAGCACTTGTACTGAATATCTTAGTTTCTTCTACCTTGTTTTACAGTGGTTTTATTAAGTGAATCCTGAATTTGTGTTGATTTGGTTTGAGCTGCATTTTGTGGAAGATGGGAACCATCCTCTTTCTCTAAGCATCCAAAGATCTCTCTCCCTTTGATGTTAGCTCCCAGTGCTTCTGGAATCATAACAAAGACTATAGGTTCCATCAGGAAAGAGACCTCCTTTTCTCCCTGTATTCCCAGTTCCTCAAAAAACTGGTTTATGTGCTTGTCAAATGTTGAATGGACACGTGAAAGAATCCCAAAACAAAGAATCATAATAGCTATTTTCTGTTATTGACTCTAAGAATAAATAGCTTGGACTTTGGCCAGGTGCTCAAAGTCTCTGGGCCTCTGTATTCTCTTGTGTAAAGTAAGAAAGCAAACTCTCAGTTCCCTTCAAACTCTGACCTGTAGAAGCTGACTGGGCTCAACAGAACAAAGGCAAGGTGAATATATGGCACCAGCAATTCTCTTTCACATGCATCAGCAGGAGTACACAAGAGCATGTTGAAAATCCAGGTGAAAGGGGCATAATTTCAATAAATAAGTAGACTTGGAGGGCCTTTCCAATGACACCAGATGCAGGTATTACAAATAGTGAGGAGACTGCTGTGCAGCATGGGACTCACGCCTAAAACAGACACAGCAGCACTCCCCCTAAGTTTACTGGTGCTCTTCTGCAAAGAGCCCCAGTCACCAGACTATGACATGTACATCAGTTCTTTGGTTCATGGTACTTTTTTAAATGAAAAAACACAACAAATCCACTGTCCATGAAGGCTGTCCAAGCAGCAGAGGCAAATTTGCATGTGAGTTGTGCAGAGGAGACTCTATACAAGATGGGGTAGGTAGTTTATAATGAAATCCTGGCCATAGCCTAAAGAGCTGGTCAAAGTGTTCTAACACAGAGCCCATTTCTCAAAGCTGATTAACCATCTAATCAATTTCCCCATGCCTGTGGATGTGCTCTGTATTTTAATGTCATTAGTTGCTATCAATAGCAGCTTTGTTACTATTAACAGAAAGCAAGGCAAGTTTATTTGAAATCAAGGATTCACAGATGCCTGAATATGTCCCCCTCATCTGAGTGGAAAATCCTTATAAATTTGAGACTGAAGAATTAAGTGAAATTGTCTTTTTTTATAGAAATGTATTTTAGCAACTGAAATTAATGCACAATTTTTTTTCAGAAGACTTAACAACCCCAGTTTCTGCTTTGGGAATTATTTTAGATTTTTTTAACTTTTCCTCTTTAAAATCATTTTTTATTTTCAATTCAGTTGATATACACTATTATATTAGTTTCAGATGTACACTCTGGGTTATTTCACTGAGCATAATGCTTTCCAGTTCCATCCAAGCTGTTGCAAAAGGTAGTAGATCCTTCTTTCTTTCTGCTGCATAGAATTCCATTGTGTAAATGTACCATAGTTTTTAGATCCATTCATTTACTGATGGGCATCTAGGTTGCTTCCAACTCTTGGCTATTGTAAAGTGTGCTGCTGTGAACATTGGTGTGCATAGGTTCTTTTGGATTGGTGTTTCAGGGTTCTTAGGATATACTCCTAACAGTGAAATTGCTGGGTCAAAAGGCAGGTTCATTTTTAGTTTTCTGAAAAAAATTCCATACTGTTTTCCATAGTGGTTGTACCAGTCTGCAATCCCACCAACAGTGAACTAGGGTCCCCTTTTCCTCACCACCTCTCCAATGTTTGTTGTTGCTTGCTTTGTTTATGATGAACATTCTGACCAGTGTAAAGTGGAATCTCATTGTGGTTTTAATTTGCATTTCTCTGATAGCTAGCAATATTGAACATCTTTCCATGTGTCTCTGGATCCTCTGTATGTCCTCCTTGGAGAAGTGTCTGTTAAAGTCCTTTGCCCATTTTTTAATTTGGTTGCTTGTCTTCTTAGAGTAGAATCATGTAAGTTCTTTGTATATTTTGGAGATTAAACCTTTGTCTCAGGTATCATTGGCAAATATGTTTTCCCAAACAATTGCTTATCTTTTTATCTTAATACTGTTTTCTTTAGCCGTGCAGAAGCTTTTAATTTTGATGAGATCCCATTTGTTTATTCTTTCCTTTATGTCCCTTGCTCTAGGGGACATATCAGTAAAAATGTTGCTGTGTGAAATATCTGAGATTTTCCTACCAGTGTTCTCCTCTAGGATTTTAATGGTGTTATGGATTATATTTAAGTCTTTTATCCACCTTGAATTTATTTTAGTGTAAGGTGTAAGTTGGTTCTCAAGTTTCATTTTTTTTTGCACATAGCTGTCCAGTTCTCCCAACACCATTTGTTGAAAAGGCTATCTTTACTCCATTTTATGTTACTGCCCCCTTTGTTGAATATTGATTGACTGTAGAGAGTTGGGTTTATTTCTGGGCTCTCCGATCTGTTCCATTGGTCTATGTGCCTGTTTTTATGCCAGTACCAGGCTGTTTTGATTTCAGTGGCCTTGTAATACTGTTTGCTATCAGGTATTGTGATCCCTCTTATCTTGTACTTTTTTCTCAGAATTGCAGCTGCTATTCGGGGTAGTTTGTGGTTCCATATAAATTTTTGAAGTGTTTGCTCTATGTCTGTGAAATATGCCATTGGTACTTTAATAGATATTGCATTGAATCTGTAAATTGCTTTGGGTAGTATGGACATTTTGAGGATGTTAATTCTTCCAATCCATGAACATGGTATATGTTTCCATTTGTTTATGTCTTCCTTGATTTCTTTCTTCAATGTCGTATAGTTTTCTGCCCACAGGTCTTTTACCTCCTTGGTTAGGTTTATTCCTACGTATTTTATTTTTCTTTTTGCTATATTGAATGGGATTTTTTCTTGATTTCAACTTCTGCTCTTTGATTGTTAGTATACAAAAATGCCTTTGATTTCTGGATATTGACTTTGCATCCCACTTTTTTGCCAAATTCATTTATTAGGTTGAACAGTTTTGGAGTAGAATCTATAGGATTTAACATGTACACTGTACACTATCATGTCATATGCAAACAATGACAGTTTTGTTTCCTTCTTTCTGATTTAGATGCTTTTTATTTCCTTTTCTTGTCTGATTGCTGTAGCTAAGACTTCCAATACTATATTGAATATAAGTGGTGAAAGTGGACATCCTTGTCCTGTTCCTGATCTTAGTGGAAAAGCTTTTAGTTTTTGCCCATTGAGTATGATGTTGGCTTTAGGTCTCTCATATATGGCCTCTATTATATTGAGGAATGCTCCCTCTATTTCCACTTCCCTGAGCGTTTTTGTCATAAATGGGTACTGTACCTTATCAAATGCTTTTCTTGCATCTATTGATATAATCATGTGGTTTTTGTCTTTGCTTCTGTTTTTGTGATGTATTACATTTACTGATTTGTGAATATTGAACCATCCTTGCATCCCTGGGATGAATCCCACTTGGCCATGGTGTCTGATATTTTTAATGTATTGTTGGATGTGGTTTGCCAATATTTTGTTGAGGATTTTAGCATCTATCTTCACCAGCAATATTGGCCTGAAGTTTTCTTTCTTTGTTGCATTTTTATCTGGATTTGTGATGAGGGTGATGCTAGCATCATAAAAAGAGTTTGGGAGTCTTCCATCATTTTGGATTTTTTGGAATAGCCTGTAAAGAATAGGAGTTAGCTCTTCCTTAATACTTTGTAGAATTTCTCCTGTGAAACCATCTGGTCCAGGGCTTTTGTGCTTCGGGAGATTTTTGATTACTACTTCAATTTCATTTGCTGTTATTGGTCTATTCAGGCTTTCTGCTTCTTCTTCACTGAGTGTTGGAAGATTATATTTTTCTAGAAATTTGTCCATTTCACCTAAGTTTTCAAATTTCTTGGCATACAGTCCTTCATAGTAATTTCTTACAATTCCTTCTATTTCTGTGGTGTCAGTTATAATATCTCCTCTTTCATTTCTGATTGTGTTTATTTGGGTTCTCTCTCTTTTTTTCTTGATGAGCCTGCTTAAAGGCTTGTCAATTTTATTATCTTTTCAAAAAACGAGCTCCTGGATTCATTGATTTTTAGAATTGTACTTTTAGTCTCTATGTCATTTAATTCTGCTCTGATCTTGGTTATTTCCTTCCTTCTACTTGCTCTGGGCTGTCTTTGTTGATGTTCCTCAAGTTCTTGTAGGTGTAGGGTTAGGTTGTTTGTTTGAAATGTTTCTATCTTTTTTTTTGATAGGCCTGTATTGCAGTGAACTTCCCTCTCAGGACTGCCTTTGCTGTGTCCCATAAGTTTTGGGTTTTCATTTGTTTACAGCAACTTTTTTATTTGTTCCCTAATTTTATTCTTGACCCATTTTTTGTTTAATAGCATGCTATTCAATCTCCATGAATTTGAGTGTTTTCAGTTTTTCCCTTGGGGTTGGTTTCCAGTTTCAGTCCCTTGTGGTCAGAGAAAGTGCTTGGTATGATTTCAATTTTCTTAAATTTGTTGAGCCTGGTTTTGTGTACTATCATGTGGTCTATCTTTGAAAATGTTCCATGTGCATTTGAAACGAATGTGTATTTAGCTTCTTTGGGATGAAGGGCTCTTTATATATCAGTTAAGTCCATTTCATCTAGGATGTTGTTCAATGTCACAATATCTTTGTTGGTATTTTGTTTGGAAGATCTGTCCATTTTTGACAGTGGGGTGTTAAAATCTCCTACTGTAATTGTGTTGCTGTCAATATCTTTCTTGAAGTCCTCTAAGATTTTCTTTATATATTTGAGTGC